ACTGAAACACTCGAGTAGACCAATTATAATATACTTAACATACATGAATAACGAATACTGAAAATTGAACATTGATTTAGGTAGCTACATGTATTATTATATCAGATAATCACAAATAATGAATTACTCTTTTAACAAACATTGACAGATTTTTATATAATCGCACATGAAAGTTTGATATAAATCCTTTCATTTTATATTCCCTAAGATTATTTGTATATTATATGGTATATATTTAGCTAGTAGATTTCTTTTATCGCTATTGCTACAAATAAGTAAAATAAGGAAATTTGTCATTCTTTCACAGATAACATACCATCTCCAAGCTGATAATGAATTTAAGTTCGAGCATCTAAGTTTTGAAATATAAATTCTATCATGTTTGTTCAGTTTTCACATCAAAAAGTATTATTCATTTAGGAAAACAAATTTTGAATGCATTGATCTTTTAATCGCTGCTTGGCTACGTTTAAAAAAAACAATCTGTCCACAGGAGTTTGATAATTCAGATAAAACTTAAACCACAATCATCAAGGGTGTTTTTAACATATGAAATCCAATTGAATTTCGATGAATAAACTTCATTTAAGAATTGAATGCTTCTTTTTGTAAATATTGGAGTGTAAAAGCGTTGACCGAAGTACATTTTGTATGAAGCGCGGAAGCGCTTCATTCTAAAAATGTGCGCACGGTCAACGTTTTTACAACCCTATGAAATTACTAAAAGAAGCATTCAATACTTATAATTACATGTTTTCGCTTTGATCATGAAAAATCGATTTTTATCATTTATGCTTATATATGCTTAGGAATGCTTATAATTTTCATTTTTTTTTATAAAGAGCATACATTGATTTTTGTGCTTGTTCTACCAGTTTTTTGCTCGCAGTACAAAACTTCCATTATAATTAAAAGCATTTCTGAGTTAAGAATATGAATCAATACCTTCAATAGTTTACCAATAAACCGTAAAGTTGGATACTGTCTGCTTTTACTTATGCTTCTGTTTCAAGTTTAGTTTTGTTTGCATTATCTTTTGACTTCCATCGGTTACTTTATTGGTCAAACACACTTTAATGATTTCTATAGTCCTGCAGTTTCAAATAGTAAAGCTGCATTGTTCGCATATAGTATGATAAACAATTTTATGTACACAAAGAAAGTCTCTTGGCATAAATCTTCAATTATTTATAAGTTGTCTTTGTTATTATCCCATAAATTAATAACGAAAACAAAAATACAGACAACTTTTCATCTTGTTTAAATTGATTATATCTAAGCCTTGAACATATCTTCGATATAAACACAGATGGGAGACTTCAAACTAGAATATATGACAAACGTAATGATTTCATCTTTTAAATTGTCAACTACCCATTTCACAACAGTAACATACCATTTGCTCCATCGTATGGTATAAACATATCTCAGTTAATACGTTACGCTCGTGCATATTCATGGTATACGGACTTCATTAACAGGAGGTCTGCTCCTCACATTAAAACTGCCCCAACGGAGGTATGATGAAGAACGACTGGAATTGCCCGATACGATGTATTTGTGTCTCAACTTTCAAGCGTAATGCGTTCGCGATCTTATATCTTTAGATAACAGTATAGTCGTCTGATCCTTAATTTCACCGATTGTGACTTTTTGACTGAGTGTGAATTAGCATGGCGAATGATGCATTTATAGCATAGAGACCCTTACCCGGTTTCGCTCTTTTTTGAGTTCGTAGGATTCCCTCTGTTTTGTATGTTATCTTGATTTGTCTTTTTTCTTAATCTATTTACTAGATCTGTATATCGATAAACTACAGTCTTCTTTATTTACATCAGAGTTAAAAAATTCCAGAGACCTCATAACCTTCTTTTATATCAATCTTTACATTTTGGGTACATATTATAATTCACGTAAATAGTTTTCTTATTTATTACATTTTGCATTCTTTGCCATAGTCCTGATCTTCATACAGTGTCAAATGCAATTTTAAAGGGGTATTAGCTAAGAGATATAAAAATAAAATAAAATATGATTTTTTTTTTCAATTATAAATGAAAGTGAAATAATGAAATAATAATTCGCTTTTTTTGTTTTTGTAGCAGTTCAGTGTTTATGTAGTTCTGTTGTTTTCCTCTTATAGTTTAGGTTATTCCCTCGGTTTTGGTTTGTGACCCGGATTTGTTTCAGTTAAATCGATGTATGACCATTGAACAGCGGTATACTACTGTTGCCTTTTTTTACCAGCCAATTTGGTTCAATTTATCAAGTTAGTTTAAAAAAAACATCGCTGACGAATTATTCACTTTAAAGTGAATAGTTCGACCTCTTTGAATCCATATTCATGTGACCTTCAATTTAACCCCCTGACTGGACATGGGTTACGCATGTATTCGTCTATTAAAAAGAAAAGAATGTCAACATAAAACGTGAAACAGGAATTAACCATTTGGTTAACTGATTCGATCCACAAAAAAATCATTCTTATACAGGTAAAAACGATGATAAACATACTTTAAAATCTACAATATGAGATCAAACAGACCTAAAAAAATCCAACTGCAAGTGGTAGCTTTCTTGTTATATTTATATTATTTTTATACCGGGTTGTATGACCGTCGGCAGTCTTCGAAGGTCATCTCGATGCTTAATTATATGACGTGAAGACAAAAATACACACGAAATGTTGATACTTTTTATGGAGCCATTGCATTGTATATTTTTTTTTTTTTTTTTTAGACTTTTTGTAATTTGGATATACGTTTTGGTATGTTATAAATCAAATATGAGAATTTTAGTCAAATCGGTGAACATGAAATTGACAGCTAAGTTATTCTTTTGTACATTTCAGGGTCTGATTTTGATCCTTTATTTTTGAAAATTGTTATAGTTTTACCTGTTGACCAGTACTCTGGTATCAGACCAGTATCAAAAATAAGGTTACCAAGTTTGATATGCACGGCATCTGTTCATTCAAAGTACTTTTAATTTTTCGTGAATACTTTCCACCTTGTTATCTTTTTTTTTTAATTTAACACAATTATTTTATTTCAGATTTCGTTATGGGTCCATTCATAAAATCTTTCACACCATCCGTAGTGTTGATGATAAAAATAAATCTGCCATTATACATGTTGTCACACACCGACAACTCCTTTAGGCTTTCCATTATGTTTGCGTGAACATTTCACATACGGTTGATCGTTTTTTGTTCGTCTATTGCAGTAATAGGTGCGAAGGTGACATCTGTTCGTAGAGAAAATTTGACCATACAGTGACAATTGGAATATAACGATACGAATTTGTCTGTCTTAAATTGGTCAATCAGGGGAAATAATTTTGATCACAACATAAAATAAATAACGACACCTGCACCTTAATAGTCACCAACTGTAGAATTGATAATATAGATATTTATTTTGTACACAAATTCAAGAGATTTTGACCATAATTGTCAGTTCCACGTGTGCATTTTGGTCCTCACTGTAAAGGAATTTTATTTTTTTCTCAAATTTTTATCATAATACAAATATTCTATAACTTCCATATCATAGCCTAGGTCAAAATGGATTTACAACAGATTCGTCTGGAATAATATATGTGGAATATTACTATTTTTTTTATTTAAGTCTTCAATAAGGCCAATACTATAGTTATTTTTGCTTGACAAATCTAACAATTTATTTTCTATTTCATCAAATGCTTCTACATATAAATATTTTGTGTTTTCTGGAAGAATATTAACCCGAATAATTCAGTCGTTATATTCCGCTGATCTACGAAGGCTACATTAACGCCTGAACGTCTTCCTCGATAAAGACCGTCAACCGGAAAATTCACACCGCTATGCAATATGGGAATTTTGATTTAAGTTGGCAGCTAAAGAAGGAGGAGTTCCGGATGTTAATTGATGTTAAATGATGTAAACTGATGTTAATTGATGTTAATTAATTATTTTCGGATTTGTGTTAATTGAACACACGTGTTTGGTAAGACAATTACAAGACAGTTGCGCAGACTCATTATCCTGATTGCCGCCGATTGGCTCTCTCTCACAGAGAGCAGGCGACGCGGCCAATGATCATAAGGAGTTCAAGCCCTCGTGTGGGAGAAAATCGGACACGGAAAGGGCTTGAATTATTCGAGTTAGAAGAATATATACAACCATGATATTTGAACCTACAGTGACAATAGACTTTAATGCTTGCAGCCATTGAACAAAAGAACTTTATGAAATTTCAACTTTTTCTATAAGGATCTTTATAAATCACTGCAATTCCACTTGAAACTTTCTTGAATTTTCGTCTATTTTTTGTAATAAATGTATGATTGAACAATTGTTGAGATTATATATAAATATTATAATCTGTTATAATGTCAATGAAATTTAGGCATAATAGCTGATATGCTGAAAGTCAGTTCAATCATTACAATTCCGACAGTGGCCTTATTTTATCGGTTTAAATTGTTCATTCATGTGTTGAGGTGGAGGATGTGGTGTTGCACCGTGGTGGAAAGTATCTCCTACCATTTATTAAAAGTTTATCCTCCCTCAGAATTGCTGTGCGGTGTTTGCTTCTCGGATTTACATGTAATATTGTAGGTATCAAGCCCTTTCTTCTTTCGATCAATCCATCGGATATTGAGCATGAACTCCGTATTTCTCTTTTACCTCTAATTTACTGTAATTCTTTCACATTCTGTTTTTCTGTCCTTTCTTTTTTCAAATTTGGCAATAATATTTCATAGAATTAAATACCATATATAATGTCCAATATTTTGATAATGAAAGCTTTAACATTTGTTTCTGTACCATTAAGTTCCTTCTGATCAGTTGCATCTTATTAACCTTTAAATGTAAGAATTTCCCTCGTAGATCTCGTTTCAGATTAGTTATCCTTTCTCTTTGTTTCCAAGTGTTCTGTTTGAGCCATTAGTAGTGACCATTGTTCTTTGTTGTGGACGAGTATTGTTGCCTCCAGGCGTTGGAGTGTATCTGTTACTATTCCCCCCTTTTGTTTCTTTTTCTTCCTACATGAAGATTCACAATGTATGAAATAAGTTATCCAGACATTCCTATCAGTTGTAATGCCATTCATATTGTTTATAAGCATAATTTTTATCCGCATTGTTTTCTTTCAAATTTTCAACCTGTCAAACTGTCCGCCATCTTTGTGTCATATATATTTGCCTAAAATCGTTTGTTATGAAATTAAAGATGAAAGCTAGAATACAAATTCTATCCTAAACACAGTAGAAAAATGAAAGACATGAACATAAATTGTTGCAGCCTTCATTTTTAGATTTGTAAAGGAATATTTTTTTGCTGCATACGGGAATGATAGTGATAACTTTTTGGTAATTTATAATATCATAAAGTTAAGAGTTAAAGAAATTATTATTTGTCATCATTATACAAAACTATTATAGAATGTGTCAGAACTATTCAAAATTTATAAAGGAAGTCAAATGCAAATGTACTAGGAGAGGTTACGTAATAGCTCTCTAATTGTGTTTTGTTCCCTCGTAAACATTGCAAATGTAGCACTTATTCCGTTTTATCCATTCGGCTGTCACATAAAAAAGAACCATGACAAAATTTTCACGAGTTATTTGTGATAATTTATTGAACATGTTATACATCTGGGAGCTATGCCAAAAATGCAGTACACGAAATAAATAAAGTCTAGGTTTCCTTTTGTTGTTTAAACATATCTGACATGGACTATTGTGTACACCGAGGTATATTTTTTTATAATTATAACCCAACTTAAAAAAAAAAAAAACAATATGCATTGTTTATATCATAGACACCCGGTTTCTTTTTAATTATATATTTTTAAAAGCAATGCAAGACAGCCAAAATACATCCGTTTGAATATTTCGACCATTTAAATCTTTGGTGTGTAGTGTATTTGATGGCGGTTATTCCAAAAAGTTTTGCTATGAGGACTGATTCATCGAAAATGTCTTTATTTATCATTAAAATACTGAACGATAAAAATGTTTCTCTTTTTATTAGAACTATATGATAAATCAAAAACAATAAGCAATCATGAAAAAGAGTAAAATTACAAAAATAACGAACTCGAAGAAAAATTCAAAACGGAAAGTTCTTATCAAATTGCAAAATCAAAAGCTCATACACATCAAACGAATGGAAAACAATTGTCATATTCCTGACTTGATACAGGCATTTCCTTATGTAGAAAATAGTATGTAGAAAGATACATTGTATAGTATGTTTAAAGTGAAAACCAATCGAAGCACTTTGTATTGGGTAACAATAGCTCGTCATAGTCTGCCTACTTAAATCCCATTTACACGATAGACTGCACCCTTCTCTGATACCATGTAGAATCTACAGAGATTTGTAAATAGGTTGTATTGTTGAACTTCCAAAGAGTTTAATGGAAAGTGGACATATAACAGTTGTTAAATGAGATAAAGTATTTTAAAGTCATATGATAATCGTATGAAGTAGCCTCAAGTGGCACAATTGCTCAACTTTTTTATTCCGTTGCTTCAGATTATGTATACAGTTAAAATGATTTCTTTATATACACAAATTGTAATTTTGAAAGCAATTTATAAATATACTAATTTTTAAGAATACAACGAATCTATTAACATTTGCATGTACCACCTTATCTCCTTATTTTTATATTAAAAAAATGAATTGTAGCAGACGTTATTATTGAATTCATTTTTTATTCAGTATTTAAGATGTGATATTTTAAAGCTTTATTTTTGAGTATTTCATAGTTATATGGTTATGCCGTTCCTTTGCCCTTTCATATCAATATTGGTAATATTTCTAAATAAACACAGACCTCAATTTACAGGATGCGATACGAAGTTCTCTATATGATGAACACATTCCAAGCTTAGGAGAACACACTTTGTGTTATTATATGTGCAGCATATGCGACTAAGAACAGAAAAGTATATATTGGCTGGGAAAAGCGAAATATATTTATATTAAATTTCAGTTAAATCAGAACGATAAGTAAATCGAAACGTTAAATGTAGATGATATATATATATTACAACAATTTCCATGAACTACTTGTATTCTTATTTTCGTCATGCCCACTCATAAGCTGTCATTTTGACTACATCAATACTTTAATTTAGTTTGTTTTTGTCTGCAAAGATTCGAAATTGCTCTGAAAAACCTTTAAGTTTATAATAAAATTCTATTAAATAGAAGAGAAAGGTATCGGTTGTTAATATATTATCAGTTCTTGCATAGCGGAGGTTGACATTTAATATTCATTGATAAAGTTGCGTTACTGATGACAGATTACACAAACAGTACAAGAGCAAGATCAAATAAGAGATTTCAGTGATATCGAATATAAGTTATAAAGAAAAAATTCAAAGAAAAAAAAGAAAAACAAAATGTGAAGCCTATGCATACTATCAGAACTTTATTTTTCGCCCCACACCCCCGTATTAAAATATGATAATGATAGTATAGGTTTCTTTATAATATAATGAAAATCATGAAAGATCATGTCGCCTTTCTAATGCTGTAAAAACGATGCTTATCCAGTTAATAGGGGGAAAATATGACCAGTAGATCATTTCACCAATTTCCAAGCATTGTTAAATCTGAATAATTTTGAATTTCAAGTAGAATTTACCAAAAAAATTCTTATATTTGGAGTCATTGAAAAAATTCAAAATCTTTCATTATAGTTCTTCAATGTATGTATCAGAAATTATGTACATGCCAACAGCATTGAACTAGCTGTTTCTAACGACCATTAAATATAAATAGGTAAACATCATCTTTTGTTAATGATTACATTTAGAGACCAATAAAAATATGATATCGGTACTATTCAGTAACAAAGAAGTATACAACCGCAGTCTATAGCCAAACCGTACATGTTTGCTAGAAAAACTTTGTTGTACGTGAAAGAAATAGAATGGTGCATTTCAACAACACAAATAGAACTTGTAATCCAATAGTTGTCGTTGGTTGCTTTCTGCCATTTCCATTTCATGTCGGTATATTTTGCATGCCATGTTTGCATTCACTATGAATTTCTGTTCATTGTGGAAATATTTGATACCACCGGTTTCAATGTAATGGTATTCTTTTGAGCATATGTCGCATCTAGTGTCACCACCAATTTTAAGTTTAATTCCTTTTGGTTCAAATGAACTTGTACTCCTGTCAAGCGTCTTTTCAAATTATTTGTCTGTCGACGGCTATAAATGTAGTTATCCTTTTTATCTGTTCTTTCATCCTGTCACTTTGGTAAGGAAACAAGAGGTTTGATTTCATAATGTTGAATGAGTATGTCATTTTCGGGTCATGGGTGCATGCAAACGGTATTCGCTCTGTGTTATCTTGTCTTATTTTTGCGTTTGTTTATTTTAAGTTGTTTGGTTTTATTGATGCCATTATCAATGAGTCTTAACGGGTACATAAAACGCATTTTTGATATTACCGTGACATTGAATTAAATAAACAAATGAATACAATTGCAAGTCGTGTCGTCGTTAAGTCTGACATCTTGATCACAATTTCAGATTTCTAAGAAATAGATAGTTTTCAGATCAGTTTGGAAGGGACAAAATCTACTATTAAACTGATGAAATTTATAAAATTAGAAATTTGATGTTTTACATTGTTGAAATTGCAAAGTCAATTTGCTATTCACAAAAGAAAAACAGGATTAAATTGTCTCAGAAATTCAGTCTAGTTTGTAATCATCATTTAAGTAGTTTCAGCGTAACAATTATCACTTATTTCACCATTACACATATCTAAAAGATGACTACAGTCAATTACCTTCTACATCTTAATGTACAACGGACTCGACAAATTAACTAGCTCTAAAGACGATGGATTCAGGTACGGACATGCTGATGATAAATTTACCGAACTATATGATATACCAAACCATGGTGTTACACAATCCAAACTTATTATTTGCCATTTACATATAAAAAGAAAAAAAAGAAAACATGTTTAGGCCAAATGATTGGCAAGATACTTGTAAAATTCAGTAGGTTTAAGTTCAGTGATGACTTGAGGTCGGTCTTTCAGACGTGTTCGTATTTGATGTTTTCTTCTAAGGGTGCATTGGAATGATAGAATTGATATAACTTCCAGTCATGTCTTTTGTAATACTTGACTTCAAACAATGACATTATTGTTTGTTGTCTTGACACCTTATACAGCTACAACAAGCTTTCTGAAAGTATTCGGTTAAGTTTTCTGTACTAGAAGATATGGAAAGCAAAGCAAATTGCCATCTGACTTCATAAATCAAACTGAAGTGGCAATAATGTAATCATTTTTTAAAATTTTGAACAACAAATGTATTGAGAAATTTGCATAACATAACATTCGACATCGTAATTGTGACGTAAAACGTGTATTTCTTGACATTTCCTGATGTGACTTTATCGTTTTTATATTGCAGCTATAAATGGTATATACAGTAATTGGGCATTTTATTTATCCTTAGCATGCAATTTGATGTCTCCTATAAGGATGTCTGATGTAATACACAGGACTTACATAATTTTACAAGCCAATTTTATCTTTGATTAAAATATCATTAATTTAAATTTCCATCAAAACAAAATCATTGATCAGTTGTTTGTCTGTTTACTATCATAGGAAAATATATTGGATCCATAATAATTATCTTCCCTTCTTTTCATCAGACGATCACCTTGCAGCATAATACAAACAAAACTGAGTTGAAACCTGGGTAAAAATATTTTACATGATTTTTAACATGTCTTTCTTAAATTTCCCGATGATAAATTGAAACGTTTGGAGTACACACCCCTGGTAAAATATGACTTTTTTGTATGTCAGCTGATCGCCAACGTCATGGTTTGTTTTGGCTGTTCCAATCATACTCCCACGTCGTGTGCCTTTTATAAATGAGTTACCCGAGGTAAATAGGCGTATATGACGCCATTGAACGATGGACTCTAATTATATAAGTATGTCTTATATAAACAAGGACTAAGTCTCAAACTCACTCAGGCAAAGT